CTTGCGTGTTAAAGCTCAAACCACACTGCAGCCATCGCAGGATCCCAGCACGGGGCGTGATGAGCTGAGCGTGCTGGAGTACACGGAGCTGGTCGCGAGGCTGCTGGGCTGCCCAGAGCCTGGGAGCGTGCGCGCTGCGGGGCTGCGGCTGCTCTGCCAGCCCATGGGGCCCTGCTGCCGCGGGGTCCTGCACGAGGTGCGCTGCCATTGCCCTCTGCAACACTCTCATGGGCACAGAGCAGAAACTTGAGTTACCTCATTCACTGAGCCAAGGTGTCAGCCCAGTTTGAGTGTGTGAATAGCTCCTGCCAAAAAGTTACAAAGCTGTGATGGCTGCTGCTGGTGTTGTAGGGCTGGAGCCCCACGTGGGGGCAGTTGGGCTGGGCACCGCGGGCACTGCCCCCCGCACGGTGCTGTGCACTGTGAGCACCTGCAGGACCCTGGGGCTGCACACATGCCGAGCACCAAGAGCTAGTGAGTCTTAGAAAAATGGTGTTACATCTTGAGCCAGCTAATCTTTGAAAGGACATGGCTAATTTTGACCATGAATTTTAACCAACTCAAAAAAGTTTTAAAGCATTGGGAAGAATATGTGCAATCACAGCACTTGGGCAGCCAGATGCCACAATCTAATAATTTAATATAGTCTTAATTAGGTTTTGGTGGTATTTGTTTGTTTGTTTGTTTTGTTTTGTTTTGTTTTGTTTGTTTGTTTGTTTTTAAAAAAGCAATCTGTCCTTCACTGTTCAGAAAGCTGCTTCCTACAAACTGGGTCACGGTTTTGATGAGCCAAACCTGCAGCTGCCCATCAGCTCCTTGCTCCTCAGTGAAGTTCTCAGTGCAGCACCCAGCGCACCATGGTCAGGGGTGGCCCTCTGTGCCCTCCAGAGCCAGGCAGGTTTTTCACCTACTCTGGAGCCCATTTCTGGAAAACACATTTGAAGTTTATAAACAGCTTTCTGTAACATGAGTGTTTGTACCACTAATGCCAGTGTCCAACCTAGGTCCATAACAGTGCAAATTCTTCTGATGATTTGTAATCCCAATTATCTTAAACTAATTCCGTCTGAGAGCCAGGAATACATCTGGAGTTTAGCTCAGGTTCTTAGCCAGACAAACTAATCTCTCCTGAAATCCTGCTGGTTGCCCTGCTCTCTGCAGTGCCAGTGCACACACAGGTGAGTGCTGTTTGACCCACAAAGGAGATTTAGATGGGCTGGACAGAATAGGAGCTTTCTCTTCAGGCTTTGAAACATTTTGGTAGCTTCTAGAGGTGTGCAGGAATGAAAAAGCTGCAAGCTGACGCTCATAAGAAAAATGGTCAGCTATCTGTAATTGTCAGTGTCAGCCAAAAAAAAATAGAATTGGCTCTTTTTATAGAGCTGTGCAGATCCAGCAGTAATAAATCACTGCTGCAGACTGGTCCTCGGGATGGTGGTGACCTGTCACCAAGAGTAAGTGACAAAGTGACTTTGTGAAAGGATGAGAAGCAAGCAGAAAGTAAACCTGGGGGCTGTTTGGAGGGGTAGCATCCTGCCGGGGGGCTGACCTCAACATCCCCCCGTGCCTGTGTGGGAGGCAGCCATCAGCACACTGGGAGGAGGTGGCACCTGCCCTGAGAGAGTGTCCTACAGCTGCTGTGCCCAGCTGCTGGCTGCCAGTGGGGCTAAGGTGAGTTCACACACAGACTAGAAAATGGTTTTGTGAAACAGAGGGCTGAAAAGCCTTGTTTGCTGCCAGATCTGATACGATTTCAGTGCCTGCATCACTGATAGGGGCAGGAGCTGTTGGTGGGTCCTGGTGTGAGGATGGCAGTCCTGGTTTTGGATTAGACAGATAAAGGTTTGGATTGGGACTGAATTTTATAAAAGAGAAGCTGAAGTATCCAAGCATTTTGTGCTTTTCAAAGTAGCTGAAACCATCCTGTCCACTCCAGTGCTTGTCCAGAAGTGGTGGGGCCATGCATCAGCTAGGGAGAGAGCAGAGGACCAGAAAGGGTGGAGAGCAGCGGTTCTGAAATGACTGTGCCTTAGGTTTTAAAATCACACACACAGTAGTCGTTTTGCACTCATTTCCAACTGGCTTTAAGCATCAGCTCATCAGGGCAATTCAATTTGATGTAACAAGTAATAAACATGATGTATTCCCTCTTTTATCTGTGGCATAGTCTTTTATGGATGTCCCATGCCTTCATTAAAACGTGTGCTGTGCTCGAGTTGTCCAGCACAACTACAATGGAAATCGTTTTGAAAAGAAAAAAGAGGAAGAGCTCGTTCGAAAGCGCCCCGGCACCGGAGGCAGAGCGCCGGCAGTCCCAGAGGCGCAGCGTGCCCAGCCCCGTGCTGCTGGGGGCAGTGGCACCGTGCACGTCCCAGGCACCTCCTGCCCACAGAGCTCAGGGCGCACGGCAGCAGCTGTTTAAGCGCTGGCACCAACACGTCCCTGCCAGCTGGCAGAACAATGACACTTAGCGTTTCATCCTACAAGTGTTTTGCAAACAGTTGCACCTCACAGATGAGTAAGTGGCAAAATTCCCTCATATAGGATGATTTTCCTTTATTTAAGGAAGGCCTGGAGCCCCAGCAGCACACCGGTGCCCACATGCCAGCCCGGTGCTGTGCCCTGCCATGGCCCCGCTCGGTGCCCACGTGTCCCCCTGTGATGGGACGAGCCCGCAGCCACCAGCACCGGCCCAGGGCCAGCTGCATGTGGGAGGCGGCTGGGGCTTCGGTGAGGCCGGGACGTCCTGCTGAAACAGCTTTGGTGGTTCCTTCCAAGGGACAGTTTTCATCAGAGGGTGGAAATCCCTGCTTGCCAGAGCCAGCTTTTTATCTCTCTGGCTGATGAAGAAATTACATTTGTTCATATTTTAAAACCGGTCAAAGAATTATGTGTGTATTTTCCACCCAATGGCTTAAAAGCCCTTATCTACATTTTTTTTCTGTACTCGTTCTAAAATGTGTTGGCCTTGGCAGTTGATTACTTTAATTTCCCCAGGCAGGCATTCATTATACTGCACCACTCACATCTTTATGAAATAAGATGTTTTATGCAGCAAAATGACTCTGGTACAATTAGCAAGATATTGTTTCTAAAGAAGCCCTACACTTCTACTTGGGTAAAAGGGCATCCAGGGTAATCATTTAAAATAAAAGCAGATAAATCACTGAGGATTCAGTGCCTTGTCCCATAACATTTGCTTCTTGGCACTGATGATCCCAAGTGTTAAAAAACATGAGTCAGGCTTTAGAGACTAGCCGTGAGCCTTCCTTCACAGCGGTGAGCATGGACAGCCGCCGTCAGCAGCGCCGTGAGCCCCAGCTGGGCTCGGTGCCCTCACCTCGGTGCGCTCAGCCAGGGTTCCACAGGTTCCACACCCCCATCGGCCTCCCAGGGAGCCAGCCCTTTGGTTGTCTGCTTGCTAACGAGGAACAGAAGAGGAATAAAAACCTTTTATTTTTCCTCTTTTTTTTTTTTCCTTTTTCTGCAAAAGCAAGAGAAATTACTCCTAGGAATGCTAAATACAGAGGTTGGTCTGTCTCATGCAAGGATCATTATGTGGCGACTGATTAAGGCAACGCATTTTCTCCTATACAGCCTGTAATGGATAAGGGCCAGCACAGGGCTGTTGCAGCCCCCGTTGTTCAGTGTGCAGGAAAGCCACCCCACAGGGCTGTCTGCAGGCAGGGACCGGGCATCGCAGCCTCCTGGAGGCAGCACTTTGCCTGCGGGTGCCCACGCATTTCCCCAGTCGCATTTCTCAGGTGTGACTTGCAGCACCCTCACCCACAGGTGAGGTAGAAGAGCCCAGCTGTTTGGGCTTTACTGCTTGAAGCCCACCTGTTGGTGAAAGCTCCCTGTTGACTCTGACTCCCGGAGGGACGGGAGCGCTGACCATGGTCACCGCCAGCCGCAAGCAGCAGCTGCCACCGCGGTGCTCTGTGAGCTGGGGACAGCCCGCTTCTGGGCCTCTTAACAACAGCAACAAAGAGAGGCTTGCAATTCAAAATAAAAATCCAGAAGCAGGTTTGACAGCCTGTGTCAGCAGTGACTGTGGTGCATGCAAACCAGCAGAAAGTCGCCAGCACCCTGCACTGTGCCGCCACTCCCGCTCCCTCGCCCCGTGCCCCAGGGCCCGCAGGACACCCGCATGGGCAAACCCACAGCTCGGCACGGCTGGCACCCAGCCAGCAGCACGCTTCTCGCCGCTGGCTGTCCCCTTGTCCCCTGCACGGTGACAGGGACAGGACGTCACCTCACCACCGCCGCGGTGCTGGTGGGGTCAGCAGGCTGCCAAAAACACCTATCAGTACTGCAAGACTGTGCTCTCTGGCCTTGTTATGCTATCCTGCTTAAGAAATTTCACATGCTTAGTCATTCTTTTTTGTGTAAATATCATGGTAAAAAGACATGACATTTTCTGGGCCATTCTTCAGTATTAATAAGATTCCAAGTAGAGGGTGACCTTTTCACAAAGGATTTGTAAATGCCAAAAACTGCATAAAACTCTCTCTTTCTGAGGCAGAGTGAGGCTTCATAATTTTGCATTTATTTCTTAAATGCTGTTTTCTTGCCTTTCCACTTTGGTTTTTATCATCCCTTTCCACCGAACGGCCATGATGAAACCTGTACCTCCACTAACAGCCACAAAAGAATGAGAAAATCCAACAGTAACACAACAGCTCACCAAGGGAATCATTTTGCTGCGGAGCAGAACAAATTGAAGCAAAGAAACGGAAAAAGGCCGGGGCGCAGTGGGGAGGGTCCCAGGGGGCTGCGCACCCTTGGGGGAGGCGCTGAGCACCATGCAGAGCAGCAGGGACCCGCGCCACCATCGCCTGCTGTGCATTCAGGACTGCAGCAGTGCCTGCGGGAGGGAAGATTTGGCTATGGCTTGGGGGAGGTTGGATGCAGCATGCAGCATGTGTAGAAAGAGGGCATATACTGCTTTTTAATCACTGAGCCATTTACACACAGAGAGCACAGAAAACAAGCACAAAGCAAAGACTTGAGGGTTTTGTATTTCACTAAGGATATTTTATTTTTTCTGCCTTTACAGAAGACTTTGTTAAATCTCTTTACACATATTTCCAACAGGCCACAGCAGAGCTAAATGCATCTAATTAAAAAAAAAAAAAAAAAGGTTGGTTTGTATTTCACCAGCAGCCAAGGCCTCACAACAGCACCACGCAGCGATCCGTGAGCTGCGCCCAGCACAGCACAGCCCTGGGACCACAGGGCTGTAGCTGGAGACTTGGGGTGTTCCTCCTTCCAGCGGCCCCAGGAAGACATCTGCACAGTGCCTCCTTACAGGTTTCATGCCCACATCTTTTTTTCTGGTACTTGCAGCAAAATACAGACCTTTTTGTAAACCCTAGTTCCCTTGAAGATGGACTCCAGGGGACGGTCCTCCTCAGCCTCTTGGGACAACTTGAGTCAGCCTGGAAACTACATGAAGCTGGCGAACATGGGAAGGATCTGTATTGCTATTTTGTAAGTTCAAGACCTTCATATTAGAGCTGGTCTATGCAGCAAACTGAGGGATGAATTTTTACTTTGCATCCACTTTGTTTCCCGAAAAAAAGAGAATGGTATCTCAAAATCATTACGTCCCCCCAGCTGGTATGGCAGCAGGACCACCTAAGCCAAAGCTGTGCTGTTGAGAATTTAGCTCTTCTGAAAGGCTGACTCCGTCAGAGAAACGTTTGTAGGTGTCAGCGGGAGCCTATCAAAATGAATTCATTATCAAAGAGGCTGTAGCCGTCCCACTGCTTCCTCCTTGCTCAGTGACCCACTGCAGCAAGGATAGCTACAACTACATCACCTTAATTAACGTGTCATGTAAGTAGGCTTGCCTGCCGTTTTGTTTCAGCTACCCTGCCACCTTCCCTGTCCTTTGACTTGTTTCAGCATTTTTCATTTCATCAAAATGTCACTGAGAAGCCCAACACCAGCACCATCAAATTTGTTCTCTTCTCCCTCTTGCAATATCCCAAAGACTTCACTCGTTACTGGCATAGAATCAGGATTTTCATAAGCTACAGCTTAAAAAGGGAAAATTAAGTCTGGATCTGACTCAAATGCAAGTTCCATATTTTAATGTTTTATCACCTCAAAATAACATCCTCCTTTTAATTTCCTGAGTAATTCTTGTGCCCAGCTCACCAAATGCTAATGCACTCCATAGGATTCCTACCCAGATCTTCCAAAGCCTTCCACGTTTTCACTTCCATTTCAGTAAGATGTCAGGTTTCTGATCAGAAGCAGCAGGAGCAACAGGCTGTAGCTTGGTGTCTAACGTGTCAGTTGCGTGTAATGAGGATGTATACAAGAACAAGAAAAATTTCCATAGTTGAATAGGAATCACCAGGTATACATGAACCCAGCAAAAAATTACCTCTAATGTACTGGTAAATTATCTGGAGTCTGGCCAGATGCTTACATTTTCCAGTTGTCTGAACTTTCCCAGGTTCTTCAGTCAAGGCCACTGAAATCTGAATAGTTGCTTGCTTGGTAGGCTTATCATGTAATGATGCTTGGCAGGTTTAATTTTCTTCTTAAAAGCTCCATATTATGGCAAAAGAAACACTATACAGTTGTGACACGAGTTAATTGCTTGGTTATCAGACAATAAAAATGTTCTACTGGTTGCTTTTCAAAGGTGCTAAGGGCGTTTTCAGCCCGGCGATGGCCCAGTAGCAGCCAGTCTCTGCACTGCGTAAGGCTCATGTTAGCACTGCTTCACTGGGATCCACAGCACAGCTTCAGAGGCAGCACTGGGAGCTCCTCCTCACAGACAGGGTGCCGAGGCACCCACAGATCCTCTGCTGGCGATGGGAGTTGCCTTCCCTCCTGGTGCAGCTGCGGGCCTCTGGCAGACTCCATCCTCACTCCTCCGCAGAGCTCACGGCTGTGGAGCAGGACCCAGGCTGCAGCCCCAAATCCCCGAAACGGCCCGGCCCGGCCGCACTGCGCACCGCCTGCCCCCGCTCACTGCAGGTAACGAAGGCGAACAGCAAAGCTGGAAGCTTTTCTGCACCAGCACTAGGAAAAGAAGGAAAGGGAGCATTTAGCATGCGGAACCACATTTCCAAAATATTCAGCATCAACCTTCAGATTCAAGGCCACTCTCTCACACGGTTTCTGTGCAAGTCGGGCATCCAACATCCACCTGAGAGCTCCAGGGGCTGAGCCACCTCCAGAAAACCTCCCGGGGCAGCCTCAGGGAGACAGAACCAACAGCTCCCCTTGGCAGCTCGTTCTGTGGTGTTATCCTTACAACTTTTCTGTCATAATCTACACTTAGCTTCTGCAGGGTAAGCCGTTACTTCTTGTTCAGTTCTCATTGACTAATGAAAGTAATTGGTCCCTGTCTTCTTTATTATGTCCCTCTAAGTATTTGTAAAGAGCTATCATGGCTCCCTTTAGTCCTCTTTTCTCTTCACTTGGAGAGTCCCAATTCACTTTAATCTGTCCTCCCTGACCCTCACTCCCACTCCCACCTTATACATCAAATAACTAACCCTAATTACTTTGCAGATGGATCACATCAGGATGATAAAATTAAGGGGGGAACAGCAAAGTGCGTTGTAAAAACAATCATTTGAATTCCCTGCAGACCCAGAGCTTTCCCAGAGGGGTAACCACAGCTCAGGTAGGGGCAGTGAAGCTCTGCAGCTGTGTTGCACACCCGCCAGACCCCAGCTGGGACTGCAGCTTGAGACGGGATGTGCTGGGCGGGGGGGCGAGGCAGAGACGCGAGCAGAGGCTCAGCGTTCCCTCTCGTGCTCTATAGCATTAAGTCAGGGGTTAATTTGGATTTACAAAGTGAAAATGTCAAGCTTCATTTATATTCTGGCACCCAGCATTAATTACCTTTCCCTTTTTTAGCAACCATTCTTGTATTCTGTTTCTTCACTTAAAGCTGATAATAAGCTGTCCGTCTATATAACCATTCTGCTGACACAAATCATGATGGATATGAAAAGCAATAAAAAGCAAGTCTAATGAGACATTGCTCAGAATGAGAGAAAAAAAAATTGAACCACGTTCTTTAATCATCAATGTGCAAAGCCAACTGGAATAAATTTGTTTCAAGGAGGCTTCATTTCTATTTAAATGTAAAATACACTGAAGTGTTTTAAGAACCACAGAAAACTATGGATTTCTGATAAAGCATTATCCTTGTAATCCCAGCCAAATCAAAAAGAAAAGACAAACCCAAAACAACCCTCCAGGCATTACAAAGAGGCCAGTGGCTTCTCTTGCTTAGAGTGAAGCATAGAAAACTGCAGGTACGATGGGGTCGCTGAAAACTTGAGCCACTCGTTTGCTCTGGAAGACAAAGGAAGCACAGGTTGTACAGAGAGGTAGTGGAGTCTCCCTATGGAGAGCTCCCAAAGCCACCTGGGCACCGTCCCGGGCACCCTGCTCTGGTGTTCGGCTGGAGCAGGGCTTGGGCCAGATGGACCCAGAGATCCCTGCCGGCCTCCGCCCCTCCATGATTCTGGGACTCGTAAAACTGCCGGCATCATCACAAACCTTGGTAGAAAATCCCTAATGCCGAGGTGACATTATAAATAAGACTATCACCACATAAAATCACTGAAAGAGCACAAACAGTTCAAAAGGTTCAGTCCTTCCTGGAGCTGTGGCAAAGCCAAGGCATCGCTGTGACCACAACCAGCTGAGAGGGGTGGGCTCAGAGCAGCCCTTGTGCAAGCTGCCTGCAAACCCCCTTCACCTTCAGCAGCCGCCCAGCCTTCCCCTGGATCCCCGCAGCTCCGCTTCCCGCACCCTGCCCTGGTGCCCCCGGACCTGGGCACGGCTCCTGCTGAGCCCCACACCAAGGCCCCCAGCTGGCCAGGGGCCAAAGCAAAGCCCCGCAGTGCCATTGCTGCCAGGCATTGCCCTCCCGAGGCTGCTCCCCACACGGCTCTTCAGACCTTGCTGAGTCCTGCAGGGGCTCTGAGCAGCAGCTCCCACTGCTGTGCTGCAGCAAGCGGTGTCCTAAAAGTGCCCCAGACAGACAGAACGCCCCATCTGGGGCACGCCAGATTTCATACTGATGAATTAGCCATCAGTCTTTTTCTTCCTAGATGAGCAGGCTCCGCTTCTAGTCAGTACTTTTCCTCTCCTCCCTCTTACCCTCCCAGTACTCATATTTTCCCACATCTAACTCTGAAGCTGTATCTCTAATTGCACCCATTGCAGAGTGAAACATAATGGCTAGCTATAACACCCAGCTCCACTGCAATGATCCAAATGTTTCAGTGCAATATTCCAAATGCTGTGATATTGAAGTGAGCTCTATATTAGGAAGAATTATGAAATTTAGAGTAATAATGACAATCTTAGAGAAGAAAGAGAGTCAATTATACAGCTCAAGGCTTTTGCAATGATACCTTAAAATAAATCAAGATGCCAACGCTTGTTGTATTTGCTCCTCCCCACACACCCACTCAGCACAGCGTATCTCAAATCACCTTTACGTATCTGGCACCCACCTGTGTGGGCTGGGCAGAACTGGAATCTGCCCCTCGAGTTTCTCATCGCCATCGCCACAGCAGTCACAGCCTGTTTGCAAACTGCTGTCACTGCACGCTGTGCCTTGTGGCAATGTCACCCCTCTGTACTGCTGCAGCTCGGGGTGCGCAGCTACAAAGGTCAGCCCGCCGTAGGAGCAAACGGGTGGGCACAGCTCTCGGGACAGATCTCCTGGAAAGGGGCCAGGTCGTGCAGAGGGCTGGCAGCCAGGGAGAGGAGCCGCCTGCAGCAAGGACTGCCTGTGCTCCTTGGAGCTCCCCTCCTGAGCTACCCCAGCTTTGTTAGGAACTCTTACACACACTTCACCGACATAGCTGAACTGAAATATACATAATAGCTCATAATCCCCCCCTTCATACAGACTTCTCCCGTAACAAGTGACATCCTAGGCTTTTTAATCACGAAGCAGCCAGAGCAATCAGCAGCCCTACAGCGTGCTTCTGCGCGGGGGCTTAGCAGAGCCCCCACCCTGCTTTACCTCCACTAGCTCTGGTTTACCTTCTGCTAACCATGCACTGCTTCAGGGACCCACTCCCTCCCTCCTGCCAAGCTGAGTGCGATCAGCTTAAGAGTTGTAGGACTTGAGAACAGAAATTCACTTGAGAGTCTTTGTTTACCTTCCAGATATAGGTCTTTTGGAACATGTTCAGAACTCATTCCCCCCCCACTTTATGCACTAATAAAACCATTAAGAGAAAGAAACTAGATTCCTGCCCAATGTCTTCAGAAATCAAGGCATGAATAAGCATCAGATGTTGTAGAAACCTGCAGTGAGATTTTTGGATAAATGATGTGAAGAAGGTGAGACTATAAATGGCTGTTTCTTATGCTCGGTACAACAGGAACGAGGCACCCAGTTAAATCATCAGGCACTGTGTAATTAAACTGTAAGAGGCATGACAGCCAGAAGGATAAATGGGTTCAAAAAGGGATTCAATTAATTCAGAGAGGAGAAACCTATCTGTGGCTATTAAGCACCTCAGTCCCAGTGCAACTTCTGGCTCAGGAGGTCACTAATCTGCTAATTACTAGAAACCGGGAGGCTTGTTTGCAGGCAGGGGGCACTCAGTATTTGCCCAGTTCCTGCTGGAGACAGGGTACTGGCTGGATGATTTTGGATGCTCTAACATGCTTCATCTTTCATTTGGGTCTTTTAACATCTCACAAGACGTGCTGTGGTGTCCCCAGCCTCCAGCACCCCTTGTCCACGGGGAGCTGGGGGCCACCAGCTCGGTGCCAGGGACACCCCGAGCTCTGCAGAGCACGGGCAGAGCAGGCGTTTACCGTAGAGCTTTCAGCAGGTCTGCAAGCCCGGGCTCGGGGGTCAGCCCATGCCCCAGGAGCAGCAGCAGTCAGCATGTCAGAGCCACGATGGGACCGGCCAAGGGCAAGCTGTGGCACTGGCTTCTGTGTCTGATGCCGCCAGAGCAGGATAAGGCTAACACCCCCCCCCCCCCCCCCCGGAGGTGATGGCCTGAAACTCCCTGGGTGCCTGCACCACAGCTGGGTGCACCATGTGCCCCAGTTCATGTTCTCAGTGGTTATAAGCACAAAGCATCCCATGGTCTGGGTCCTCTGACACCACAGAGACCCCTGCTCCACGCAGCCACAGCTGCGAGCCTACAACCTCCTGTAAAAGGCAGGCATTTGTGCTGTGGATACTTGAAACGCCACCCCTGAGCACTGTGTGCTTGCAGAACCCCCCCAGGAGCCTCCCCAGGACGTCCCCTGCTGCCCACATCCCCGTGGTGCCACCCCCATGCCCCTGCAGACACCCGCAGCGCACCAGCACCATCCCAGCACAGCTGCCCCTTTGGTGCTGTGGGCTCCTTTCCCCGTTGCATTGCTTAAGTTTAGGTAATAGTTTACTGTTGTAATAAAGTAACTGCATTGGCACAAGATGAACATTAACATTTGCAGTGGAGGTTGAGAAAAAAACACTATCATTAAGCCTCCACACAGAAAACAATCCCGATCAACAAACGGTGGTGTCACAGCCACAGCTCCCTCTGCAGCACGTATCATTGCTTCTCCTTCAGGTCTTCCCAACTTGAACGCCTCTGCTGCAAACAACAATAACAAACAACAAAATCAAACATTTTTTCCCCAACAAACACCCAGTCTTTGTGATTTCAGATGTTTTTGTTTCCTTGTTTTATCTGCATGAACAGTTTGAATGGTTTTATAATTTGCCTGCACTTCCATTTTATTATATCTGTCTTCCATCTGTTATTTTTATGGCTCATGTTACCATTCTCCTCTCGCTAATGCCAGCGGCTCTACTGTAAAATCGATGTTGCATCCTACAAACTTATCACCTCACTCCAAAAATATATCTTGTGCATGATGGTATAAGAACTGCCTGGAGAAGAATGAATGGATCTTTTATTAATGATTTTCTTGTAGGAAGAGTTTACGCAATAGTTGTACGTGGTGCAAATACGTCTTCTCACTGCACTTTGCAACATTCCCACTGAATGATACAGAGCTCATTCACC